GCAGTGAAGGGAAAGTCAGTGATTGTGAAAGGTTACGACGTTGATCATACGGCGATTACATGAACGAAAACCCGTTCCATTGAATGACCCGTGACCTCACGTGACTCTCGAACTGCACGGGGAGATGGCCTCACGCCATGAGTGCCACTATTACACCGTCCGAACTGAATGTCGAACGAAAATCCGAGAATCATATTCCCTATTGACCCTCTAACTTGAGGCAAATCCTATTTTACTGGGTTGGTATAGCTTAAAATTGGGTGAAGGTACAAAATCCAGACGGACTTAAATCCCTACCGTAAACCTGTCGTCGTTTCAAAGTACTACTACGTGACTCATACGTGTTATTTTACGAAATATTGCGTCCAATCACTAAGCAGTTGATAGTTCACCGTAAGGATTCAGTTTCCTATTGCTTTCGTTTGAGTGAAGTCGTAGTCCAAGAAACCGGTCCCTTGGTCATTCCCATAACAAAATTCTAGAAATAACACGCGATTGACTCATTGCCGGCGAGCCCCACGTGCGATCATCGACCCATCAAGGGGGCGGGTCATGTGTTGGCCATGGAGCGCACTCGTCGAACTTGCCAATTGCCCATCGCTCATCGCTGCATTCAAATTGAAATGACAGGCCTGTTGCTAGTTCAGTGGAGTTTTCCACTTTCAATATATAATGTTGCTTCCTTTTTCCTTCTCATTTCGATGCAGACATTGTATTCATTTCTTTCCCCGATTTGGTCATTATCTGGAAGCAATTCATGGCGATGGGAAATTGTTCAGAGTGCATTAACCGCAATGATGGTTTTCTCAATCGACGAATCCGTCTAATTCTTTACGAAGGAGTCATTTCGTACCGCATCGGTATTCCTACGAACTCTCGTAGTCATCGTTCTGGAAAATGCCTTTTTTTGGATATTCTCAAGGACGGAATTGTTCCTGTCATTTCTACTAAATGCTATGTTCTCATGTTGGTTTTGCTTTCGTGATGGGGGAAGAAAAGGAGCGGCAAGGAGCAATACTTTGTAGCTAATGGTATTGGTTTCCCTATTTGATAGAATTCTTTGTTATAGTTTCTTCGAATTACTTCTGAAGCTCCTCTTTTGGACCAATGGCCGGTCCAGATCATGGACGATTTCCTTTTTCCGTTTTATGACAACTAGTTCCATTTGGCAGTTCCAAATTATAGAGCAGCTGTTTTGTACATGAATTATCCTTGTTGTGCTGTGGACATGAAAATTATGTGCGGGAACTCGATTTTCACAGTAATCTAACTGATGGTCCTCAGTGGTGGCGATTCAACACAGACCTTGGTCATTAACCACCCCAGTCAAGGTGTCCAGGGTCCCTTTTCGATGCGTTGTACGTGTATTGTGTATTTGTATACCGGCGTGAGTTGTGTATTTGTATATCGGTGCAGAAATTGCTATGAAAGGAAATATAAAAATCTCGCAAGGTCGGCGAGCTGTGGACAAAACTTCAACTTCGGACGAGACTCGAACCGTTAATTGTGCTATCCGTTTTGTTATCGGCTGTTATTGCTTAATAATAATAACACAACAATTAAGTATTAAGTCAAAACAAATTACATGTCGTCTCTTGTTCGTTGTTCTGCGTTCGTTCATTTTATTTCACTGTAAAGGATTGTACGAATCGAGTTCCCATGGTGAATTTTCGTTCCTGTTGTTTACCCAGAAGCGGCTTCATGACTGAAATTGATCATAAACAAAAAGTTGTAAATAAAAATAATCACTATAGATGGTTATGCTATTTTGGATGACTCATTATTGGCAAATCGCTGAGGGAAAACACCTTGCAGCTGCAGTATATTTATTCAGGAGGCTGGATCATGTTGTTATATGCCTACAACGAATAGAGGCTAATAGTTTGGCTTATTTTTATTTTATTTTTTTATAAAGGATTTCTTCATCGACCAGGCGATGTTACATTATTTCTATAATTTTTCACGGTTTTGAAAATTTTCGATTTTTCCTATTTTTGTTTTCCTTTCTTTTATTTCTTTTTTTNCTTTTTTTCCTCTTTTTTGTTTTCCTTTCTTTTGTTTCTTTTGTTTCTGTTTTATGATTACTTTCACTAGTCTTCAAACTTTTCCTTTTGTCATACTTCTAAACATGAACTCTGAACGAAATCTTGCTGCTCAGTTCTAGTCCCAGGGTTGTGAGTGTGAAGCTCGGTGTTGCAAACGTGTTCTGGGTGTGTATTCTCAATGTCAATACCCAGATGAGCTGTTTGTCTCGCCGGGTCCCCATGTTGTTTACCACCAGGCAAGCTAGATTGTTTACAGGATGTGTTCATTGCATGCCAGAAACTATGGTTTATTCACATAAAACTTTTTGTCCTGTTTTTTTTTCGCATGATTTCTAAAGGAAAGGTTCGTTTATTACTTGATGGCAGGTCAATTCTGAGTTCAGCCGTCGAACGACGCTCCCTTATATGCACTACCGTCCAAGTCGTAGACCTATCAATCTTTCTTTTGCGGCAGTGTTTTTGACGTTCTTTGCTTCCTTTTGACAAGTGATGGTAACATTTTTTACCTACTTTAATTACATTTACATTACACTATTTTGACAGTTTATCACCTTAAGTTTTTATCATAGAATATCTCCGAATGTTCTATGGACTATCATATTTTATCATTGCGGCGGTGTACTAAATTTTTACCTTATCAGTCGTGCACTATCCACTGTATTACACTGATTTTTGATTTCTGATTCGAATTTGCACGTTTTTGAACTACACTTACTGTAAGCTTCTGAATGATGTACAAGCGACGTTGGCGTGATGATAAAATAGAATTTCTTTATTTTTTCCAGCTATTTATCGTTTTCAGATATGGAACGCGATATAAGTGAAGCTCTCAGCCAAGTTCTGCACGATAGCGGCTATGACTTTGGAGGGGATAGGATTGTCGACGACAGCACGACTGTGCAGGTTGGTAACTCATTCCGGAGTTCTTTCCCATGACTACTTGGTCCATAGGTAATCCAGCATGTTTCAGGTCAAAAATCCAGGAGCTAGGCGTACTGGTGAACAAATGGAGGTGTTCTACAGTCGAACCACTCATCTCCTTTCACAACCCAATTCTGACGATGAAGATTTTGGTATGTTATCATAGATTAAGGGCTCCTACTTGAAGAATAATGTGTACGATTGAAGCCAAATTCCTTTGTAGTTGTCCCCCTCGATCGAACTAGTGAGTTCAGGTCATCAGATTATTGACTGGATGCAGTCAAATAGATAGAGCTGCATCCTTGAGGTGGGGAACCAACTTACACCGGCTCTGCTTGAAATTGCGTCCACGGCTCCATATGCAGCTTTTAGATATCTGTTACCTAGATGTTTCAATAAATGCAGAGTTCTGCAGGCAGCCCCATTCCCTTTTGCCTTAACTCCTCACCCTCGCCCCTTTTTCACAATACGACATTTTTCTTCGAACCCATTGTCTCGAATGGAATTTCATTTCTTTTCTTGCATTTGTTGATATGTTTTTTCTTAGAATGTACATAACCTTTTCAAATTGGTATAATTCGCTCTAACGACGGGTTGACTCGCAGTCATCAAACAAAAGGGCATGAAATGTTTTTATGAGATGGTATTTACGCCTCATTAATCAACAATAAGACGCACAGTAAGCAAAATAGCTGCTTTTTTGGGGAACTTCTCGTTCCAGCTGCCAACAAGGATGAGTTGTAAAAAGTTCCCTGGCTATGTAGCTTAAACAGTTAGAATGAGCTTCAGCACATTTTCCTTCAATTTCAGCAACCCTATCCGATTCGGAAGCGCTAACGGAGCGCTGTAGAGTTGATTCAATTCGTGGTGCATCTGGTGCCAGTGATGATGAAGGACGTAAGCATATGGTACTGAAATACAGAAGAAGACGAGGAGGACAATGGAGACAAGTTCAGCGGAGTGACAGCCCTGTACGTAAAGGAGACGAGGACGAACTCGAAGTGAGTACATTTCCTTCTTATTAAGACTTTTATAGGTTAATAATGATATGGAGTCTTTGTTATTATTTGGCGATAGCCCCTCTGAGTTCTTCCTCGGGAAGAAGATGTTTCTCAGAAATGAATCGTTCTCCCCTAATCTGAAGTAGGTGCTTCCAAGGCTTCCAAATTGGTAAAGGAATTGATCTGGTGCGTGATGTGGCTTGAACGAGTAAAATTAAAGGAATCTCTATGCAAGTTTTGAGCGTACACCCGATTTTAACCTCAGTAGCTATGCTGTTTCCTGAGCTTTGACCCTTTCGATCCAGGTTCTCGGAGGTTCTAAAACTGCTGATTTAAATGACCATGTAAGAGATTTTGGCCGCATGTTCTACACTGTTTATTGGCCTTCGACCTTTGGTTTGTCCGTTTCCCCTAATCCAAACATATCGCTGCTGAACGATATCCATGGCACTGAATAGTCGATGTCCCAGCACCTGTCATTCCCGATAAACTTTAGTATCTCACCGAATAGTCAGAAGTGGTCGCTTTCGGTACCATCGCTGCTTGCGTGATTGAAGTGAAAGAACCTAGAGGAAATTGCCCATGATAGGTATCAACACAGTCAACGCTTACTATATGTAATTGATATTGAGATGAATAGTTTTTGTAAATTGACCGATTTAAGGTTGACGTCACCGAGGAATGTTCAGAGACGACTGGTATTGTTACAAAGGTCAGTTTCTGCTTTCGGTTTTTGTTTTAAAGTGTAAGTGTAAAGTATAAGTAACGCTGACGTTTACCCTGCAAGAAAGTAAAGCTGTTCAAATTGCGTCCCAGGGTTCTCCATAGGGAGGTTTAGTGAGCCCATTTCGACCTGTGTGCAACTCTTAATTGAATAAGCAGTAGACATTTATGAAAATGATTGTTCAGACATACGAAGCACGTTGGAAAGTTTTGAAATATGAACATCTACCGGAATGGCTACAGGATAACGAGTTTTTACGGTATTCTCTTTCAAATTCATTCCAAACCCTCCCACATTTCTATAATTTGATGTTAATTTTTGTGGTTCAGACATGGCCACCGCCCTCCACTCCCTTCAGTTGCTGAGTGCTTTAAAAGTATTTGGTCGCTCCATACTGAAACTGGGAACATTTGGACCCATCTTATTGGTATGTTTTGTGGAACTTTTTGAAATTCTACTCTTCCTTGTCTCGGGGAAAATTATTTTCAATTTTTCGAATTTTCTTCATTTCCTTTGTAAAATACTTCCACCAACCTGTTGCAGGCTGTTTGGCTTTTTTCTTTTTGGGGATATGGTTCCTTACCCGTCCTGATAACCATATTCAATGGCAAGAAAAGATTGTATTCTCCTTCTTCTTCGGCGGTGCCGTTCTCTGCTTAGGTCTTTCTTTCGCTTTTCATACTTTATGCTGTCATTCGATAAATGTCGGCCGCATCTTTTGCAAGTAAGTTTCTCGATTATTTTTCTACTTAGGGTTATTCAATGTTTTCGATTTAGACTAGATTATATGGGCATATCCCTTTTAATAGTTGGATCGTTTATCCCTTGGATTTATTATGGCTTCTATTGCCGCATGGAGCCAAAGATCACGTATATTGGAATGGTATCTGTGTTAGGCGTTGGTGAGTAGTTTACGTCATTTCATAAGGTTAGCTTTTATATCAAAAGGCAGTTCATCACAATTTCAGCCGCTATAATTGTTTCGCTTTGGGACAAATTCAGTGAATCTCGTTTTCGGCCTTTGCGAGCTGGTGTATTTGTAGGGATGGGGTGCAGTGGTAAGTTTACCGAGTTACTTGTTCAAGTAAATACCCTTCCCGTTGTTGGTTTACTACCTATTTCATCTGCATTCATGTTTTCTCTTTCGAAAGTCATTTTTGTGTCATAAGTCTTGTTGTGAATGAGCGCTGTGGTTCTAATTTTCGTTTTCAATCAGGTTGTGACGTCGCATGTTCTCGTTTTTACAGCGCAATATTTAATGGATATTCATCATCATTCTTATAGTCAGAAATTTCGAAATCATTTATGTTGGATATGAAAACGGAAACCCATCTAGAAATTTTTTTCCATCAAATATCGCGCTCGATTTGACGCTGCTGCACTGCTAGTGGCACATTTTCGCTGAAGAATGCACGATTTTGGAACTAAAGTGGCAAAAAACATGACAGTTGAAGGACGAGTAGTAGAATAAAAAATGCTGAAGCCGAAATCCAAACAGTATAACTCAACCATCTTTAGAACATCCTTTTCCGCTTTGCCTTTGCATCTCGGATAATTTGTAAAATTATGTGTTTTATATATTTTTTATCATTTTCTACAGTATTGTAATTTGTTGTATTTATATATTTTTTAGTTTTCAACAGAATTTAGTGTGCTCTTCTTATGATTTTCTCAATTTTCTTTATTCTCTCCTTGAGCCAACGGCTGAAGTAGGTAGCTATAACCGCCCATAGCTCAACTTTATTTGTTCGACATTGCTTAGAATCTGTAGAAAAATTATGAGAAATGCAAGGGCTATGGCTCTATCAGTTACATTCTTTTTATTAAATAATGTTGTTTTTCAAGGAATTCTTCCAACTGTTCACTATATAATAACTGATGGTGTCCGTTCTTTATTCGAAGACAATGCCTTCCATTGGCTTCTTCTCATGGCTTTCCTCTACCTTCTTGGAGCTCTACTTTACGCTACTCGTACTCCTGAGCGCTTCTTCCCGGGTAAATGTGATATTTGGGTGAGTTTTTATACTTTAGTTTTTCATGTTATATGTTATTACGGCAAATAACGAGTAAAGACTATAAAGCGGATTTGAGTAGGATGGTAGTTTTCCATGCAGAATCAATAGGAATTTGATAATGTAATAATAGTGCCAGTAAGCTTTGCTGGATGTAAAAGCTGAAATAACTGTGCCGGCTTGTAATACTTTCGTGTCAGACAGTGCAATGGTTATGAAATCCGTCATTTGGACATTTGGCTTGTTTATCTAGCTTTTATACATCTACGAGTAAATAAGGGGTCGAGGTGTTGTTGATGTTGATTAAGCTGTTTTCTTGTTTACAGTTTCAATCTCATCAGCTATTCCACACTTGTGTTGTGATCGCTGCATTCGTTCATTATTACGGCATATCGGAAATGGCATGGATGAGGCTGAATGGCCAATGTCCAGCCGATGCCCTTTCATTTATATCTCGAACAGATTTGTAATAGATAAAGTAAGGTATAGAGTGTTTATATGTAGTCAACTAATAATGCAGGGTCAGTCGAAATTCACCTCAACTAGTCCTCGAAACTCAGCGTTGTGACCACAGTTGGTTCCCCTCACCCATCCGTCGTCGTCGTCCTGTTTGTATCGAAATACTCCGGTGTATCAGTTTTAGCTGCTCGTTGTCATTAAATCTTCTTTTGATAGATAGGTATAGTAGGTAGAGGCCACTTTATGGCGATCAGATCAGACAAATATTTTGTAGACCTCAATTTATGTAAAAAGACTCACTTAATAATTATTCTTCCTCTGCTGACACTTCCGTTTTCACTTGATGAAACCTATTTTGAGTATTGCTCTCTCTCTATGTTTCTGGTTCCTCGATTTTTTCACTATGGCATTATTCAGTAAGAGTTATTGCCAGGTAAAATGGTCCGCTTATGCCTTCGTCACTGGATGCTTAAATGTATTCGTCCGCTAATTAATCTGAGTAAATAAAAAATATTCATAACAGGTGTGCTGTACTGTTGAGCTTTCACGAAATATCAATGAGGNAACAGTCCAGTGAACTATTGTGAGCGCCGCCAGTGGGAGAATCGGATCTGAAGGTCCTGTCATTTCCAATATTCGAAAAGTATCTCAAAATCGGTTTATTGGGAATGGATCAATTTTTACAAGTTCTATTTCCATCTACTCAAAACTGTATAAAACGACTAAAGCTTCGGCTCGATGAAGATCAACCACTTGGTGATGAGCCATGCACTTGATTCCCGCACTAATCGAGAGTGCATCCGGAACATCATTTGTGTTATGAGGTAAGTGAAAAAAACTGGAGAAGCGGAGTACTCTGTCCAGGCGAACTCTTTTGCGGAACGGCTTTTCCGAGGACAACCTTACTCAACCGGTTACAGTGGTACTATGTATCGGAGTGAGCCAGATAGTCGAGTTCTTCCGCGTGATGGCAATAGGGATCTTCTAGAAAACTTCATAGTTAGGTCACCAAAATGTTTAAACGATTTGAACCTTTATGAATCGTTTGTTCCTGGTGATATATAAGATCAAAGGTTGCCAACAGTCATGTTTGTTTGTATAGGCAAGTGACTTGGTGATTAAGATAAGGAGAGAAGCTTTAGAACGTCGTTGGTGTTCTATACGAGGTGGTACACCACGAATTTCTAAAAAGAGAGACTACATGGTTATCGACAAGATGGTTTTTTCGCCGTGTACGAGAAATGAGCTGCGCTCTCTCAAGAGCCCTTCTCAAAACACGAAGAAGCGCTCGATAGACGATGGACGGTGATGTCAAATTCACCTATGACCAAATTCATCAACTCAACTGAACGTTTTCATCATCTCAGCTTCCAAAAGTACTACGAAATGAGTCTTCAGTGCTAGCCCATCTGTTAAGTTTTTAAGAGACACTCATATTAAATAAGTACTGCAACGGCACTCAGTATGTTCTGGAGGAAGAACTTGCAACGAGACGCCTCTATTTTTTGCTCTATTCAGGAACTCTTGACGGTTCCTCACGTTCACTGACCGTTGCTCGACAGGTCTGAATTCCATTCTGTCAGATCTAATTTCGTAGTTAAGCATCTCCGAGACTACCTTTCTGTACGGCGGAGGTGGTGTAGTGAGAAGGGGCGGTTGGTTACACTACCACACGCATGGTCCAGGGATCGAATCCCAATTCGGTACCCAGGTCAACTAAATCTCTTACCTCTCCGGGATAACACGGGAGGATATAGGGACTGTCTTCTACAACGGCTGACTTTCACAAGTTATTGTTTAGGCCGCAAACGAATTGAAAACGCCACCACGGCTGTGTACGGTAGCCAGAATCAAGGACACAAAAGGGGCCTAATTAACGCCAGATAATTTATTCTCTCAATTGTGAAAGTTTTCCAGGCTATTGCAGCATTCTTATTACAACTATTAATTACAGACGTACTCAGTTGTTCCTGTAGCGTGTCTGAATAGGCTAGAAGGTCCTCTTCAACCCATCGAGGTTGTAGCTTTTTGGTATGCCTTCGTGAAAAGTATGTGGGACGTGGTTAGTAATTCATGTGATCGTTGACGTACTGGCTGATAAAGGGATGCCCTGCTCTCTGATCATCGGCAATGGCCGCACTTCCGAATCATTCTCCTCAAGCGATTACCCTCTGAGTACCATCGCTTCAATTGCGCAGTGAGTGCCAGCCACCGAGCCCTCCTAGAGACTGAGAAGAGAGTTCATTTTTGCACCTCAAAAATCAGATCTTCGAGGCCGTTGTCCACACTGCTCAATCACCTCCTCTTGTACCAACTAACTGGTTTCTAATTGTTTCTGCAGCTATTTCTACATTCGTAACTTGTTTTGAGCCAGGTGCTGTACCGCCAAGTAGGGCCGCAAGCACATGGTCCCGAGATCGAACCCCGTCCAATGCTCGGTCAAACTAACCAATAGATGAGGACGAAGCCTTGGATAGGGCGACCTTGGAGCTATTTTGCATTTTCAACGCCAACTATGCCGATCAAATGTTTAGATGTGATCAACATTCAAGTAATTCTGGGTGATGGACAAATACATGGCGCAATCCAAAAAGAACCAGTGCTTACAACCAATCAAGCCATTTTTTTTACCCCGTTGCACGTAAATTATATTACTTTTCGAGTGTTTATCAGTTTCCTTTCCCACCCTACCCGCATTTACTCAGCGTCCACGGCGCATGTCAACTAGCCATTTCTATGTCGGTCTCTACTGTAACGAGATATTCTTGTTTTCTGCTATTTACTGATGAACTGAGTTTTCTGCTACTATTTATGGATAAACAGCCTTGAGTGAGTGATTACTCCCTGGGACGGTAATTGTGTTTTGTGCCCAGTGGAGCACGAATTTCGACGCTACATGGGTAGATGCAGCATAAGGAGGTAAAGCCTTCCAAGCAACACTAGCCTTTTCGTTTCGCGATCTATTACGTAACTATCGAAAAATCCTGTTCTATTTACTTATCCGCAAGGCCATTTTATCTTTAATACCGTTTTTACCTGAACTTTACCTATCGGTAGGTCTATCGTACGACATAACTTTCGTATGTATACTATGTATCATTTGGCTATTGAAGGCACAGCTCACCATAGAAATGCTGCTAAGATTTTTTCCTAGGATGGACCTGGACCCCTACAGGGTAGCGCGAGGGACGCTGTCGGGTCGAAAGATGGCTTAGATAGGGTGTAATAAGGGCAAAACCGGCTTAGCTAATGACACACCCAAAGGAGGAGAACGCCGTTCCGCGCGTCCGTTGAAACGCAGCGTACTGCCATCTCGAGATGGCAGTACAGTACCACTAAGTGCCAGCGGAGCGAATAACTTTCACTACAGTCCGTGTTACCGTCTCCCACTTTCCGAACCGATCTGCAATTCAATGGTAAATTGGTCCCGTTACCATCTCTGCTTGCGTCATATGAAACCGGAGGCGTGCCAGTCACCTAGGGGCTTTGCAGTCCTTTATGGAATGATGCACTTTTCGAGTAGTTTTCAAGTGCGTGTGCTTTGTTCAAAAATGTCCGGTACCCTGGTACTACTGCATTCCCTTTACCTTCCCAGTGTTCTCTGTTCTCTCTTGTTCCAGAATAATCAGCAGTGAAACAACCAGAGATTCGTCGCAAGCTGAGAGTTACGAGACCAATTTAACGTTAGGTTGCACAGAAAAAGGGCTGGAAACTGCCAATCTTCAACTTTCCGAAGCCTCAATGGATTCTTTGACGTGAATATTTCGAGACTGTAGCGCTATGGTCTGCTGAGGAGACCGTAATTGGGAAGTCCTAAAATGCTCAAGTTAAATGGCTGATGTAGGGAATCCACTGCGTTCCGGGACCTACACTTTATGTAATGTTTGCTTACCTACTTTGCAGGTATGACCCAGCATGAATGGGCTTCCATGCAAAGACTCAAGCAAAAGATTGTGACGTAACGCCGCGAATCGGAACCCTCCAGAGTGAGTTTAAACCCATATCCGCTACACCGTGAGACCTCACTGGTCAGACTTGGCCTTCGGCTATGTCAGACTGCCAATCAGTTTGATGGAGGCTGAAGCC